GACAGGGGATAAAGAGTGCTAGGGATGAAGTGGAGGAGTGGACAGATGAGGCAGGGGCAGAAATGGAGATGGAGGAGACCAGAGCGGCCCCGAGAGCAGGATGGATGGAGGTGGGCCGGGTCAGCGGACAGCAGATCTGTTCAGTGTTCAGGCTCCACACTTACAAGGAACAAGTGATTAACTACAGTCTAGCGATAGCAAGACAAAGCTATAGGCTGTGGAAATGCCAGACACATAAGCGACCACAACACGTAACATACCAGTACCAAAGTGGAGAATTGTTCACCTAATGCAGGAAATAGTTGACACAAAATACCATTGTTTTTAAAAGGAAACGGCCTTTGTGAGGATAAAGCTGGATTCAAAGTCATGTGCACAATCTAGTGACAGCCATACTACTACTAAATAAGAAGTCAACAATAATGATTTATTTTAAAATATTTCTGATAAAGCTAAAGTAAAGAAATGTTGCTGATGAATAAATCTAATTAATCACACTGACAAGATAAAGCCAATCCATAAGATTTAACAGGATGCAATTATGTAGTCTAACTTACCTTCAACAAAAAGCTATTAGCTGCTTCATAATTTGCATACTAAATAAAATATGAGTTGGTACTTCTTGTTTTTTTGGTTGAGGAATACCAGAATACCACCAGATCTTACTGTACATGCCGTCCAGAATAAGATGTCTGACTGCTGAAAGTAATAAACATGTGGCTGGGGCGTAAACAGGGGTACAGTCCATACTGGTGAGTGTATATATGTGCAGACAGGATGCACAACTGGCACAATCACCGCTCATCAAATATAGATGTAAACATTACACAAGGTCACGAAGCGGGGGTAAACTGAGACCGAGGCCCACAGGAGGGAAAACACCAGAGGATTGTGCTCCGGAGCAGTCCTTTAAGTGTTCAGGTTACAGCAGGGACGGTTTCAATGGTAAGAGCCAGATAAGTTCAATGCATGAATTTGAATTGACAAGAAAAGAAGTAATGTAATAGCACCACGATTTCCACTGTGTACAAATGAGCGCCAACTATTGTAATCTAACTGCAAAACAATGTAGAGAAGACTAAATCCATCAAACCTGTTTAATCTGAGTGCATATATCTAACCGTTCTAACCTTAGAAAAGCCTCAAGTTGCATGTTAGCATTGCCTCAAACTATAAGCTGTTATTTGACAAGTCTGTATTTAAAGTAATGTATGGACCATCTGTCAAAGGCACATTTTTCCCATAGACCAATACTTTAAAATGGCCTCCTCCTGGTCATCTCTGTTTCTGGGCAGACATTTTAAGACGAAGGCAAGAGAGGCTGAAATCCATATATCGGATCAATATGTCACAGGGAGAGGTTAGACTGGGCACCACATATGCCACTGGTGTGAGCAAACAAACACAGGAAAACAATTGTCGTTTGAGTTGCATATGACCCCAATAATGCCGAATGGATTTTTTTTTTTTTTTTACATGGATGGTAAATATGAAGTAAAGTACATTGGACACAGAGATGTAAGAAAGAGGCAGGCTTCAGTCTGCACAGCATTGGTGAGATTGATGGATACGTAGAGGATTTCTACAGAGCGCTAATTGGATTCACAGGTCATTAGATAAAGTACATGAGTGAGATGGTTATGGCCTAAAGACTGAGGGAAGAGGAGGAATGGACAAGGAGAGGTGATATCGATGAGGCTGTTTGGTTCCTCCCTACTCGTCCGCCTCTGCAGTAGCTCAGACGGAGAGGGCAGATCAATAAGGGAGAGAAGAGAAGAGAACCGGGGGTCGCAGACAGAGCAGGAGAGCGATGAGCACTCAGGAAATAGTGGGATGTGGTGATGGCTGGGGTGGGAGTCATTCACATAAAGCATTTGATTAGAGTTGAATTTCATTGCTTTACAAAAAGTCGGAGTAATAGTATGGAATGAGAAGGAAAAATACCTCTTTCATCAACAATTAGTAGTGTGACAAAAAGCAGTTGTACGTTTAGTTGCTATGATGTAAAGTAGAAGAGTTGTCAAAAACATAAAAAATCTGATACCAAACTATACTAAAACTAGTATCAAACAAAAATTAAACAAATAATAAATAACTCTTTCTTTAGACAATAGAATGTTATTTAATAATACAAAAATTTATAGTAAATAATAGTACTTCCTTTATATTACCACATGGGCTTACATCTATGTAATCCCTCAGGTAGTGGTCCATTGGTGTATACTAGTCAATTCTGCCTTATACTTGTTCTGATACAGCTCAATATCAGTCTAAAGCTATTCAGGAAAGGTTCATTTCTGCCCTGTGATGTGACTTTAGTATTGATACATACTGAAATGGGTATCTAGTTTCGATACTAGTTTTAGTATTGTTTAGGAACTGAACCCTAACCAAAACTAGATACTCAATTGAGCAAGTTTTGATTAAAAACATGGCAAACTTTGACCGTTCCTGAACAGTTTTAGACTGTTTGTCACTGTGGCAATAAAAGTATCGAGTAACAAGCTCATTCTTTACTATCTTAGCATTGTAATGCAGCGCTGTCACGTAGCACCGTTATGATACTTCTACATAAAACGAGAGCAACCTTAGCCTAATTGCAGCTATGTAAAACAATGTTAAAAATATACACTACACTTTGCTAAGTAAAAGCAACAGGGATTATAAAGGCATCAGGTTCCTCTACAGAGCATAATCAGGGGTGAATGTAGCTGCTGCAGTGCTCCTCTTTTCCCAGAGGCATAAGTGTGTGTCCCAGTTCTTTGAGCAGGGTAAACTCGAGGTTAAACAGCTAGATGTGCAAGTGCAATCCAAATCAGCTATCATCCTAAAAGAGGATTTACCCAGGTCTAGTAAATAGAGATTAGGAACTGCAGATGTAGCAAGCGTGTGGTGCCACTCCGAGGGTTGATTTATAGCAGGTGACAAAGTGAGCTCATTGAAAAAAAGAGCTGTAGTTGTTTGGAAAGCCAGCGGGACTTGTTGTTTTAACATCAGAGGACAAGGGTACAGTGTGCTCAAACACACACAGGCATGCAGATGGCTGGTCATTAATTACAGATGGGTGGGGGAGGGGCTGCGGAGAGGCTGGAGACAAGAGGAAACACTCACTATGCTAACGTTGAGCTCTTGTTGGGAGATTTCCTACTTCGGCTCCACATGCACACAGGAAAACCAAACTGCTTCCCCATTTGTGGTAGAGGCTGGTAGTACTTAAATGGTTTGCCAGTTTATATCTATGGAGCTAAAATAATACATGTGGTTCAGATGGATTCCTGAAAAAGCTAGAGTCACGAGAAATGCATGGACAAAACTGTACTTTAAGTGAACAACAAAATAGGCTATCCATGGGTTTCAGAATGATGAAAAATTAGAACCATTGCCAAAGCGATTAACAATTTAAAACTAAATATTTTAACTTATCTTATTAACCGTAAATTCTCCTCATAATGTTGCATGTGACAAGATTTTGAAACCCATGAATAGAATAGAAAGTAAATAATGTATATGATTTTCTTTTCCTGTAGAGAGAGGAAGAAAGGGCAGTCATCCGATGGGAGCCAGTTCTCTCCCTGTCCCGGGACAATTACCCCTGACCGGCCCAGACCTCTTGTGCTGCTCTTAATCAGGGAGTTTTTGTGGAGGTGGGTTCCTGCGGCTCTCAGCACTCTCCAGCAGCAATCCGATTAAAGTCCTGCTGCTATGGGGCCTGCTCGTCCTCCACTCAGTACCTCACCTAGAAGCCTTTCCCAAAGACACAAAAGCTATAGTCCCGAATGCATAGAGCTATAGTCCACCTTTTGAGAGCAGCGCAGTGTGTGACCTCTGCACTGACCTCCAATCATCGCTCTGGCTGTTGGCGGCCATTACCGGCGCCCCCTGGGGGTTTGGCTGCTCCTCACGACGGGCTGCGCTTAGACAACAAATCTGCTCTAGGATGAGTAATGCTCACTCCCGAGGATTTCCACAGCCGATTGATTTAGCATTAAGCACTTAGTTTGTACATGTAGGGTGAGTTTAATTAACTTTAAACAGTTACATAAATGTTATAAAGTCCATTGGTATTTTAATTGCAAAACAGCTCAAGGCGTAGTAAGAATAATGCAATCCAAATATTCCACAGAATTGAGTGACATATATCAAAGCATCTGTCCAAATAAAAACTACTATTAGACAATTAGTGATAAAGATTAAGTCCATCCATTTGACTCCCTTAAAAGCCCAACAAATCAGCCTAAACAAAAACTGCATGTTACCTAATAATAACAGTCCTAGTCCCTGAACAATAGAACTAATTAAAAACAAGTATTTTCAGTTCAAATGGTTGGCAGTTTAGACCAGCGGCTCTGTTGAACTCTGACCTGCCAGTAACAAAACACTGACCTCCATGCTGGCTTCTACTATTATGAGAAAGAGAACAAAAGCAAAGAGCCCATTAAAAGGCGATTTCACAAAACAGGGTCTACATAAATTACATTTTCTGTCAGCACTATTGGGTCATTAAATATGAAAAACCTTAAGAATTTTACTTTGTAGATAAGGCCATATTGTGCAATGCAACACATCTGTATCACTTAGCTAAACAATGTCGACAACTGTCTTTATTTAGCAAAAGAAGGTAAATTGCCCACATTAAGCGGCAAAAAAAATCGATTGGAAACTGGCGAAGGTCTCTTTCATTAAATCAATTAAGCACACTGAAAAACATCTTTATTTCCATTACAAGCACTATTACACTGCTACGGAGAGTTAAGTCAGTTCCTATTCAAAGTTAACTCACAGGGGAATGAGTATGTTTCCACCTGACCATTTAAAAGAAACTAGGCTGACCTCTATTATAAAGATGTTTTTGTAACTTTTTGCTCTTGGCACAACATAATGGCACTAGTTTCTGGCACACTTGAACAACACTTGGCAAGAGGAGGATGAGTGAGTTATTGTTGAGGATATTTAACGGATGCTGGCGAATGGACAAAGCATGGTAAGCCAGGAGTACTCACCAATTTAAAATCCTGTATGCTACAAATGAAGTAAGGAGTGTTGGGCCGTCGACTCTCGATGTATACACAATCTGCAAAGAAAGGGAAAAGAAGAAAAAAAACAGGAGAGTTAGAAAGAGGATGTTCGCTCTTCCCCAGAGCTTTCATGTTTTATGCAGACACACTTTGTAATATATTATTTGGTGTTACCTCGCTGCTGAAAAGACACTTTTTCCTTCTCGAGTCAAATTCAATTGGAATGCAAGTAATAGGATTAAGGACTTTTGGAGCGCTACAACCTTGCCGTTCCAAAGCAAACATTACGCCCAAGGGGAATTATGTTATTGTTCCACTACATTTATACAGCGAGTGAGCAATGCAGTCATTTAACCCGGCATCAACTTCAGCCCACTCGAAATCTATTTACTGTCAATATACGCAACACTTTATGGTTTGGCTAGCAATGAAAAAAAACTTTCACCTTTTTTTAATTAACATGGTCTTCAAACTGTGGATATATTTTGTAGAGTATTTTAGTTGTACTTCCATTTTAATCATAAGGCACATAAGTCATACTGTGGGGTTTATTCTGCCCATATCTGAATTACAGCTCAAAATTTTGTCTGAAGTGGCAGTTGGTGTGATAAGTTTCAAGATCACGGTTTCAAAACTGTGCCACATTACATAAGCCAGTGTAAGCCAATGTCCCACTTGTTTTGTGTGAGAGGAGGTAACCCGGAGCGGCTGCTCTGTTAAATTGAATGTGACTGGTGGTATGGCCAGGTCGTGAACCCTCATCTCCTTAACAAAAACATTCACACTGCAGAAGACAAAAAACCCACAGAAAATTCTGCAGAAAAGATCTCGGAGAACAGGAGGAGGGAGAGCGCACACCGGGCTAATGGTTCCTGTTGAACCTGGCACAGCACTTCCGAGAAACTGCCAAGGGTTACACTTATTACATAAAAACAGAAATATCCACAAGTTTGGCACAGGGCTATCAAAACAAAATTGCCATCTAGAACATAAAAAAATAGTATTGAATGTAGATAGTCATTTGAAAGTATGGGTACAAAATTAGTTTTGATCTATAACAAAAGTAGTAAGACCACATGGTAATTAAAGATTCCAATACCTGTTTTTTTGTGGTATTAAAATCTCTGTTGAATCAAGGATTTTTATACTATTGAAAGTAAGGTTGTAATTTTAGTAGTACAACAACATTCCATGTACATATTTTCCATTAACCTTTGGCTGCAATGAACAGGGATTTAATGCATTAACAACAAAGGCCTAAGAGTCATAAGAATAGATGTTTACATATAAGCCTCCATGTCTGTACAAACGTTTTCAATTTGAAGCTAACTGAATGCATGTTTAACTTGTCAAAACTTGAAACGAAAGACATTTGACAAACTTTGAACTTTACTTATGGCAAAAAAGTTCTAGGAACAAAAATACTTAAAGTCTTGTCTTGTTTAAGTCTACAAAACTTCTTTTCTACTACAAAATTTCTTTTCTACTGGCAATGAGCAGCCACACATTTACAAGATTAGTGTAGTATTAATAATGTCCAAAGTTTTCCATTTTGCTAAATTTCAAAATGTACCTAAATAAAAACAGTGGTTGCTTTCACAGTGTGAGTAGGAAGACACTGATGATTTAATAAAGCATATCAAATAAATCACAACCTCTTTTAAACAGTTTGAGGATGTCTCTATTCATGTAAGTATTTAAGCGCTCCCAGAATAGCACAGGGCTGTTTTGCCATCATTTGGTGCAGCAGAGCATGGCACCCCTGCTTCGACTAACACACAAACACACATCCAGCTATAAAGAGGGAAAACCACTCTCTCTGCCGCGTGATAGAGGCTCTTTGAAGCATTCATTCAAGTAAAAAAAAAAAAAAAAAAAAAAAAGGAAAACGCCATCACCACCAGCACCGGCAGCAGCATACATAGAATTTACAGTGACAACAGCTCATTTTATGGAACGCCACGCTGAGAGGCTGTGTGTGCCCATGATACGCTGCTGCTTTTCGCAAGAACAAAAGCCATGGAGATACCTTTTCAGTGACTGACAGTGGCATCATCTGTTATTTATTTGTTTGTGTCAACAGAGCCATCGATCCGGCTGTGGTTTATCTTACCGCTTGTGGAGGGAAAAGAGAATGATATTAAATGGCTGTGTCACCCAAGATAGCATTTGTAGAGGTAGTGTATGCCCGTGACATCATAGCAGGTTTTGTTTTTGGAGTGCAGTGTGTGTATGCTAACCCTGTGCTTGTTATCTGCTGTAGGCTGAATGAGCTGTGTGTCTGAAAGGATGAGGGGAAAAGGGGAGGGGGCTAAGGTTTATCATCCCCAGTGTTGTATCTCTCTCACTGCTGCCCTCTCCAAGCTCAGAGCCTCCCATTCTATACAACGTTCCTGGAAGTCATTTACAAGATAACGTGAATGAAAATATTCATAAATGTGATTGTGTTAGGGTGACATAGGAAGGGGCAGGCACGGGAGGGGGAGGTGGTGGAGGCAAGGAACAAAAGACACTAATCTGAATGAGATGACATGTTTTGGAAGGGTCTAATCACTGGACGTTAGTGGTCCTTAAGCTGAGGCACATATTAATTTGGAAATGCCTGGTCTGCCAATGTTGAGCAGGCAGAAAAAAGATGGTTGGAAATATAAAAAGCTCAAAAGGAGGGAGTTTAATCATTCACAGACCAGCTACAGCTAGTGAGTCTATTCTTCGAATGTCAAAAGCACATTTCAAATTCATCCCGGAGCTCTAAAAAGTCTAGCTTCCTCAAGGGCATTCGCTGTCAGTACAATCCCAATGAATGAAAGTTGAAGTCAGTGCAGTTGGTTATGATGGAGTGAATCTAGGAGGTGTAGGCTCTTGTTGAACATTCCCACCATTTTGTGCACGTTGAGAAGTGGGTCTCCAGGCTTAAGTGGAAGAGTGGGAGGGGAGGGCCGTGCTGGGGTCTGCTCTGTGGGGGAAGGGCGCGTATGGGTGGGCTGAAGTGTGCTGCATGAATGGGTGAGTTCTACTGTGATTATGGCATGCTTGTAAGTACCGATTTGGTCATTAGGCAAAGCAAAGTTTAGTTCATCAAAGTTTAGTTTTAAAATTGAATAATTTGAATCAATTGAGCCTTTGGTTAGTATCACATAACTTTCGATGTGATCTGCTGATTCAAATGAGTTTTTGAAATATAGTATGTTTTATGTAGTCTCTTATTCATAAACATTACTAATCTGAAAACACAGCAACGTTGGCTATAAACAACAATATTTTTGGTATGGAAACTCCCAGTCACACTTGCAAGACACTGATATCTAAACATTTACAAATTGGTAAAAAGATAATACACAAATTATTGCACAGTTTCTACGCAGGCAAGATTAGTAACCGCTTGAGGTCAGATCTATTGAATCACATTATAAAGACCATTACTCATTTCTTTATAGCTATAACTCCTCTCCTCTGCCTGTAGCTTGGTTTGCCACAGATGACCTCTCCTAGCCCAGACACATTGAGCGTGAGCCCCCACAAAGTCCAATACTTCGACACGGTGAGATAATCATGAGCCAGACCCCAACCCTTCACTTGAAACCTGAACACTGCAGTCCCTGTTTCTCCAATTACACTGTCAGCGCGGCGTTCATGCATCGTAATACTCTTTGTTATAACCTTGTGAGGCGCGCACACACAAACAGCTATTTTCTCAGCTGTGGCTCATTGTTCCCCCAGCCATTGAGCATATCTAATCTAAAACACACCTAGTCGTGTCCTAATCGTCTGTATCTAACCAAAAGATGTTTAATTTAGTGTGGAGTCAAATGAGAAAGGTGATTCAGATGCTATTCTCTGGCTTTAAAACCATGTGAGCTGTGTGGCCTTCTGTGTAATTTTTTTTTTCCTGATTTACTGCTATTGTCATTGCCACATCCTTTGTTGTCCTTTTGCTGTCCTCTATTTATATAGAACATTTTAAATAGATAAACTTGAACTTAATTATTAGAATAGTTTTAATCTGACATTCAAATGATTGGACTTAGTTTTTTAGTTTATTTCTAAAGACGCAACAAGAGGGACAAAACCAGGAACTGTGGGCTTTGCAGACCATACAGACCCTAGAAAAAGAGAGTTACTACTACCATTAATTATTTAGTGTTTCTTGCAAGACTTTTATATTTACAGCAATTACAAAAAAATCTTATTCTTTAAGACAAAATACTTACACATTGCATGTAAATGTTCTATAATAAATAATCCTGCTTCAGTATAAAGTGAATCACAATGAAATAGAGTAAACAGTGAATCCTGCAGATAAAATCTGCTACACACGTGGTACAAGCAACAATGAAAGTCTGAACTGTGATAAATCAGAACAACAAAGCGCCATAACCGACCATATTTCAAATGAACAGGGCCTTATTAAGTAGACAGCCATGTTTGTTTAGTCCAGGCTCGCAGGTGGTGGTGAGAGCAGGCCATGCGGCGGGACACACCTGCATTGTTAAAAGTGATACACACACAAACACGCACACACAAAAGGCATATGTGCATATCAACAGCAGAGCTAACCCCCCTCGAGTGTACTGATCCGAAAATTAAATAGCACAAGGAATGCAATAATGGAACCACAGGGGTGTGAGGGGTCTGAAGGGCCCAGGATGATGGAGGGCTTTGCAGTTAGTAGTTATTAGTGATCCGCAACTGGCCACACAGCAACGAGAAAGAGAAGGGGCACGGTCAAACTCAGTCTATTCAAAATGTAGTGGACTTTCTGGCATTCAAAGAGTGATTCATCTTTGTTCATCTTGTTAAATGATTCAGCACCTGTGGTCATAATGATAATATTCCATCCAGTAGAGAAAACACAATAAATCTTGAGCTGCCTTGTAATCAGTGTTGTAATTACTATATTTTTTTCACCTAATCTTTTCTTCTTATTGTTAGAGTCCATACTTTTCACTTTGCTTGTTATGGGTGAAAAACGACTTAAGGCTAGGCTTAAGATATTAAATAGTATAGTTTCAGTTTAAGTGGACATAATCCGCACATTTTGCTTTAGTGTCACTTT